TATAGTTTGAGCCTGGAAGTTCTAAATGGGGACTCGGTAGAGAGAGCTTAACAAGAATTAATTACGGCAAACAAACAAACAAACAATTAAAGACTCAATCGATCAAACTAACAAACTATACAGACCGAAAATAGGAATGGATGCACTTCTGCCGTTTGTGGTGAAATTAAAGAGTTGTGAAACTCATTCCTTGATCCAAATTCAGCTGTTTTATTTTTCTCTTGTTTAAATAAATGAATAAATAATTTCTAACAAGACAACTTCTGAAATGGATCAATTGAATACAAATTACGGTGCATCTCTTTTTCACCTTTTGTTTCAATTATCAGTCAGGCAGCTATCACGACATGTTAATCTACGCGGCATTCAGATAATGATTCCAGTAAAAGATGTAAACGAGTAGGCAATGAAAAGAGAAAACGCGAAACATGGTCAATAGCTTTGGTAATCGAGGCTTGATCTCCTTTGTTCTTGATCTTTATCGTGTGCTGCCCTTGTACACTGTCAGTTATCTCAATGTCGTTCCTGCTTGCGACAGAAATGGCATCACGCCATTATTATCCCGGGCAATTACTGGTTCGCTGTTATTAAAAATCTTCTCCAAGTTAAGTAGTCCTCGTTTACGACCTTCAATTCACATTCGTCCTCCTTCATAGGTAACCGGCCGTTTAGCCCCTTACGTAGTTTTGACTACCTGTGTCCCCCTCGTCATCATTTTCAGCTTGGAAAAGTTGTTATTGTAAAATTGGACTCGAAACGCAGGAAACAACTGATAATCGCGTAATCAGAGCTGGCGAACTCTTTCTCTTGTCATTATTGTTGGCAGGATATCTGCACTCAGTTGTGTTCATCCACGTTTGTTTGTTTGATGTTGAGTGCTATGTCTTTCTCTTGGTCATTATTATTGGCAGGAAGGGATATCAGCACTCAGTTGTGTTCATACATGTTTGTTTGTTTGATGTTAAGTGCTATGTCTTTCTCTTGTCATTATTGTTGGCAGGATATCTGCACTCAGTTGTGTTCATCCATGTTTGTTTGTTTGATGTTGAGTGCTATCTCTTTCTCTTGGTCATTATTGTTGGTAGTATATCTGCATCTAGTTGTGTCCAGCCATGAAGAACCAGCAGAAGACATCCAGTTGTTATAAATGGCACCAGCAGTAGCCACGCCAAGTCGTCTTTGAAGTGCAGGTTAAAACTGTCACGAGTCAAATAGATTCACTAGTTAATGATATTTTTACGCAAATGTCAGTGTGTCCTACTCAGTAACAGTTACACTGAATTTGAAACGCCTGTTAGCACTGATAATAAAAGCTGGGAAGTAGAGAATTAACTCTAAAGTGATTTGGATTGCTGGAAATCAACGACCTTTACCTTGCTGACTTTACCTTGCTGACTGAGCTACGAGGCCCAGACGTGAGCATATCGTGGGTAAATATGGTGATAACTCGTGAAAAGGTAAACGTCGTGGGTTCAAATCCAACCAAGGCCAAATAATATTTTTCTTTACCTCTTGCGGTTCCCAATTTCTGCTCAGAAGGAAATATACTGGTTGATTTCCAGCACTCCAAATTACTTTCTAGACAACTCTCTACTTTCCAGATTTCAAATGGGCCTTTTTGATACACAAGGACCTTCGAGCTTTCCAAACTCACTAACTAAAGGTGTTTATTTTATTACGGCAACACTTTGAAATTTTGCAAAAAGACACATCTGTAGAACTTTTCTAGGTTCATTTTCTTTATAGACATGTACCTAGAGCGCGTTAATGACCCGGAGTACAAACTATATGCTAACCATGATTGACTCGGTACGCTGATGGCAAACTCCTGAAGTTCTTAGTCAATCGACCAATTTCGATATATTACAATTCTTAAATGGCAACAAGGCTTGTGGGGAGGCGTGGTTGGAGGGAGGGGGAGGATTAAAAAAGAAATTATTTTCTCGTGCCTCACTCAACCTGGATCAATGTGATTTCATTTCTTTTAAGTCCCCTAACCCTTTGAGGTACACTAGAATTTTTATAACGTAACGAAATTGGGCTTTTGACCAACCTTTTCAAAGTCCTGCTAAGGTACGGCCGAACAGACAACATTTCAGCGCAGCACATTCCAACATTGTTGCACACAGCTTGTTTCACGCGTTTGGCCACCCTGTTGCAAGATGTTGGATGGAGCGGCAAGGCTGCCAAACTTTTGCAACATGTGTGCAACAGACTAGTGTTTGAATATGTTACGTTGAAATATTGCGTGCCGGTCGTGGGGCCTTAACTGTCGATTTACAATAGAATGCTGCTTCAAGTTGCGCATCACATTTACAATGCTAACAATAATATCCCAAATGGTTTGTATATCTTCAAACGAGAATGTCCTTATTCTTCACAATAGCATACTATTCGGTACAGTCCCTTTCATGCTCGCTGAATAAGAGATGGCGAAATACGACCGCGCTGGAGTGAGTTGGAAGTGTAAAAGGGTAGGGAAAGGGAGGGTGGGGTGATGAGAAGCGAGGTAGCGTGGAGACACAAGCGAGAAAGAGAGACAACATGTTGCAGCTGCCAACAGCCAAAGGATTCTTACGCAAACTGGGCTGAAATGATATGCAGAGCTCTTATTTCTACTCGCTTTGTAAGAAACTGGTACAAATAGAGAATGCTTTTTTACCTTACATGCAGAGAGCTGTGGAAACACTGTCCATGTTCAGTGGTGAGTTGTAATGACACAGCAGCTCTGCAGGGCTGTGATGGTACTATGACTTGTTCAGTGTATATTCCAGGAGACTTGTAGCTCTTCTTAAAAACCATGATCTGCTTTCCAATGATAATCTATAAAAACATTCTGTTGTAAGAATCTATTATTGATTGATCGTTAGATTAATCTCAATCAGTCGGTTGGTTGGTCGGTCGACAAGTGACACATCCATGAAGTCTATTACCCTGTAGTGATCTCCCAGGGGCGGGGCGGGGCGGGGGTGCCACTCCCTATATGGGCTATATAGGTATGTGCGGCCCCAGAGGGTATGGTTTTTGAGCGGTTTTGGTCTGAAAAATACAACCTCTTTCCCAGGATCTCTCATCTTCCAAAGGGAACGAGATTGTGAAAAATAGTATAGATTTTGACCATTTTGGTCTAATATAGGGTACCGTTTTAACTCTGGCTTAGTATTGGGTATTTTGTCCGCAACCGCATCAACACTGGCAAATTTGTAGCCCTTCTCAAATGTTTACGCAAATGGAAGTCAATTCGCTCAGGTCTGAAATCACAGATTTTGGTCTGAAATACGGTACAGGTTTCAATGTTTGGACCGCACAACGCCACCAAAGAACGTTGAGGAGTACCCCCCACCCCCCACCCCGGGAGTGATCTGTCGTCCTCCTTTAAGTGAAAGTGCTTAAAGCTTATTGCGAGCTTTCTTGTAATGACGGGTAAATTGTACTTCTGTAACAGTTGAAGTTATTGAAGAATTACACATACCTTGATGTTGTAAACTTTTCCTTTTACGTCTTGTGGCTGCTCATCTTTAATTTCGAACTCCACAGGAAAGGATCTCCCACTTATCTCGGTGTTTTGCTGAGAGTTTGGAGTGAACCTCACTCCGACCTTGTTCATGAAAACAAGACTCAGTTATAATGACGATCAACAACAAACATCGTAGTGTAGATTGTTCTACGGAAATTTATAAATGTCAGCAAAGATAACACACTTCTTTCAAGCGGTACAACTTTGAACTATTACTTTCATGACATTTTAAAGCGCTAATAATTCAATTTGTTAACCTTCAGTTCTCGCCGGCTACATATAGGTAAATTAAAAAATAAATTATTTTTTTAACAAAAAATAATCAAATTAAATTTATTTCAGCAGGCCAAGAAATCTAATACGCTTGTTTTGAAAAACACAATCAGTTTGGCTTTGAAGAAGGCTAAAATATATACTCAAAATCAGTACCAGTGTGCAATGTGACTACTCTGAGTTTTGTTTTTAAGCTGATAAAGAGAAGCTTACCTTTCCAGAGAAAAATGTTGTTCCACTGCAGGGTACATTCTCTGCTGGCCAGGAAAATAGTTCATTCATATCTGCAGGAAGACTAATATAAATCCCAAGTCAGACGGTGTATAATAGT